GTCACCAGGCTGGAGTGCAGTGGCGCCATCTCAGCTCATTGCAGCCTCTGCCTCCTGGGTTCAAGTGATTCACCTGCCTCAGCCTCCTCAGTAGCTGGGATTAAAGGCATGTATCACCACCACACCCAGCTAATTTTTGTATTTTCTTTTTAGTAGAGACAGGGTTTCACCATGTTGGCCAGGATGGTCTCCATCTCTTGACTTCGTGATCCACCTGCCTCAGCCTCCCAAAGTGCTGGGATTACAGGCGTGAGCCACCACACCTGGCCAATAGTCACATCTCTAAGGAGTGTCATCCATTCTTTATTTTCTGCTTCTCTCACAGAAACCATTGCTTTCTTTTCCAAGTTTTCCACTTCTGGTCTTACGTTTCAGGCTTTTTCCTGGTTTTGTGAAGTACCAAGTCTCAAACCGTGTTAGGTATTTTGGCATTTATTGTTGAAGTTTTCGCCTTCAGTGTTTACTATGTCTGTGATTCATTTATGCCTGCTAGTATTCTCTTCTGAGTATGTTAAAGACTAATCTCCCTACCCTCCACTGCAGGTGTTCAGTGGTAGACAGGAGTAAGTGGTCTTTTACAAATTTATTTCTTTATTTATAGGTAATTTGAAGGTTGTGGTACTCTGTCTCCTAGAGATGTTGAAAGGGTAGGGTATTTTGTGGTTTTATTTGCTCTTCTTATTGATTGTATGAGATTGGGGGAGAGACAGGAGATATTTGGGAGTAGGCAACCATCTCTGCAATGAGAGAAACAGGATTTAGCTGCTATAGTATTTGTTAAAGTGCCCTTTCTCTTAAATCCTTACTCTGAAATCTATTTCATACTTCAAACCAATCAAAGGTTGTATGGAAGACTTATCATAAGCTCTCAATAAATAAGAATTCTAAAATGTTAACGTCAGAGTCATTGTGTTCTTAATGTACATGTTTACTTTCTTGTAGCCTGTCTGTATAATTTATTTAGCGTTTTAGCAAACAGCTGTCACCTATGTTGGCTAAAAAATGTAAGTCTAACCATTTTAATGTTGGAACAATTAAAACTTTCACACTGGCTAGAGTGCAGTGGTGCAATCTCGGCTCGCTGCAACATCGGCCTTCTGGTTTCAAGCATTCTCCTGCCTCAGCCTCCGAGTAGCCGGGATTACAGGAGCCAATCACCTAAGTTTTGTATGCTGGTATTTTTAGTAGAGATGGGGTTTCATCATGTTGGCCAGGCTGGTCTCAAACTCCTGATCTCAGGTGATCTGCCCGCCTCAGCCTCCCAATGTGTTGGGATTACAGGCATGAGCCACCATGCCCAGCCATTTCTACTTTATTTCATTGGTCACACAGGTCAACCCAGTGTGGAAGGAAATTCAACAAAGGTATGTACACCACAGGTAGAAATCATTGATGAACATCTTGCAACTTGCCTATAACACATAATTTGTAGATTTTTACCCTTTAAAATGAACACAGATTGATAGTAAGAACCATAACTGATTACACATAACAAAATGTATAAGTGCATTTACAACTGGTAAGAAGTGACCTGGAAAAGATTAAAGCAGGAAGTAGAATAATGGCCTTAGAGTCTCACCTCACACACTTGGGCACGTGTTGGCAAACTGGCCTGTGGATCAAATTTGTCTCACCATATGTTTTGTCAGTAAAATTCTTTGGTAACACAGTCAGACCATTGATTTTTGTATTTTTTATGTCTTCTTTAGACTATCATGGCAAGGTTGAGTAGTTTCAACAGAGAATGGCTCACAAAGTTGAAAATAAATGCTATATAGTTCTTTGAAAAAAGTTTTCAACCACTGGTTAGGATATAAAGAGAAAAGTTTCAGAAAGTCAAAAATTATAGAACTAACATTTCCAGGTATATGTAACTGAAAGGAATTATAAGGTTTCAACGAACATACTCATGAAAAGCTTTTAATAAGGGAAAGGAATATGTTACAGTAGGAGAAAGACAATTCAAATCAGCAGTGTGGGACCAAGAGACATCTAGAAACAAGCTCTTCAGTGTTCTTATTTGTACAAAGACACCCTTCATCTCTGGATGAAACATGATATTTGTGTGATGAAACTTGGTTTCAGAAGAACTGAAACTGAAATTTCCTGCAGTCTTGTATGTCCATCTGGTCACATAGCAGACACAAGATTTGTCATTATCTCAGGTGGAAGCTATCAATAAACAAATTGACCCTAGATTCCACTGAGGGATTTTGAACTTTAAAGAACTCACTATAAACCATTAGTTAGGCTAATTAGCTAACTAATGGTTTATAGTGAGTTCTGACCGAACTCACTATAAACCATTAGTTAGGCTAATTAGCTAACTAATGGTTTATAGTGAGTTCTGACCATATCACGGCCAAGAGTCAAAAATAGACACCAAGGCATCTCTGGAAATAAACAAAGAGCTGTCCCAGTTCAGCTATAAAATAACTCACTTTCTTATGCATGCATTATGAGAATTAGATGTCACTAACTGATATGGTTTGGCTGTGTCCCCACCCAAATCTCATCTTGAATTGTAGTTCCCATAATCCTCACATTTCGTGGGAGTGAGGAGTGGTAGTGCGAGTGACAGTGAGTTCTCACTAGATCTGATTATTTAATAAGGGGCCTTTTTCCCTTTTGCTCAGAGCTTCTCCTTACTGCTGCCATGTGAAGAAGGAAGCGTTTTCTTTCCCTTCTGCCATTATTGTAAGTTTCCTGAGGCTTCTTCAGCCCTGAAGAACGGTGAGTCAATTACATCTCTTTATTTTATAAATTACCTAGTCTTGGGTATATTTTTATTAGCAGCATGAGAACAGACTAATACACTAATATTGTGGGTGAGCAACAGCTGTCTGAGCCAGTGGCTTTGAGGTAAAAGAATTTACCAAGACAGTTGTAGGTAAGAAAGGCAGATTCATTAAAGAAAAGTAGGAAAATCTGTTTCCAGGGAGGCAACAGGCAGCATCAGCAGAAGAAAAGCTGACTGCAAAGAAACAAAGGCTTTCTGGGGATGTTATGGAATAGCATTTATGCTGTATGCTGCAGAGGGCTTTGTACAGTACTGATAACGCCAAGGTTGCAGTGAGTTAACTTACAGGTGTCTGGTGATACTTAAGCACATGGCCCACATCCTGGACCATGAAGAAAGGCAGACTAATAGCTTATCTGCTTTCTTTTTCTGCTTTCCCCTGCTCCCATCAGCCTGACTCCTTTTCCCTAATTAGGACTTCACAACTAATGGAGGAACCAAGAATTAATATACTGGGGAAGCCAGAAAATAATTACTTGTCCTAGCATATGTCAATTAAGGAACCAAAAGGCAGTGTTTAAATTATATAAACTGGCTAGGCACAGTGGCTTATGTCTGTAATTCCAGAACTTTGGGAAGCCAAGGCAGGCAGAACCTTTGAGCCCAGGGGTTCAAGACCAGCCTCGGAAACATTGAGAAACATGTTATGATATCATTCTACAAATGATATGAAAATTAGCTGCACATGGTGGCTAGCACCTTAGTCCCAAGTACTCAGAAGGCTGAGGTGGGAGGATCACCTGAGCCCACGAAGTCGAATCTGCAGTGAACCATAATTGTATCATTGCACTATAGCCTGGGAAATGGGAATGAAACCCTGTCTCAAAAAATAAACAAATAAAATAACATAAACTATGAAGTAGCAGTTGTAACATATTTTTAGGATTATGTGGATACAGTAGACATAACTCTAAAGTGGTTTCTAATTGGTACCCCAGTGGCCTAGTGTACACCTGCACCATCCCTTCCCCTTTAGTTTGAGTAGGATTTGGGGTTATGATGGGATGTTACTCCGTGTTTAGATTACACTAAATGACAAAGATGAGGCAGTTTTTCAGATGCAATTAAGATTCCAAATCCTTCGCTTTTTTGTTTTTGAATAGTCTTGCTCTGTCACACAGCCTAGAGTGCAGTGGTGCACTCTTGGCTCACTGCAACCTCCACCTCCTAGGTTCAAGCGATCCTCTTGCCTCAGCTTCCCAAATAACTGGGATTATAGGTGTGCACTATGATGCCCAGCTAATTTTTATATTTTTAGTAGAGACAGGTTTCACCATGTTGGCCATGCTGGTTTCGAACTCCTGACCTCAAGTGATCTGCCCACCTTGGCCTCCCAAAGTGCTGAGATTACAGGCATAAACCACCACATCCAGTCCAAATTCTTCCATCTTAAGTCAATCAAAATGATTTTTTTCATCACAACAATGATGAAAATAGACCAGCTTTGATTCATAAAAGAGAAAAACACTCTTAAGTGTTAAAACAGAAGACGATGCCTCATGAGAGGAGGTCAAGGAGATAGAATAGTTAGCACACAAAAAATATCGATAACCATTACATGCTTGCTTATATTATTTTAAATTTTTTAATTAAAAAATATATAATTTTGTAATCACATGGACAACAAAACCAAAATATTACAAATCTCTAGAAAGTGCAATTCAAAATAAGCTGTCTTAGTTCAAATTAAACATATGAAAGATATTATTTTTCATCCTATGTCTTTTGTAAGTTAACTGAAGTGCATTTTTCCTAAATCAGTCTTCATACAAGAATGTGAAGAGGGCCAGGGATGGTGTTTCACACCTGTAACCCCAGCACTTTGGGAGACCAAGGTGGGAGAATCACTCGAGGCCATGAGTTCAAGACCAGCCTTGGCAACATAGCGAGACCTTGTCTTCACAAAAAATTAAAAAATAAAAATTAGCTGGGCATAGTGGCATGGTGCCTGTAGTCCTAGCTACTTGGGAGGCTGAGTCAGGAGGATCACTTGAGCCCAGGAGTTGAGGTTGTAATGAGCTACGATCTTACCACTGCACTCCAGCCTAGGCAGTGTGAGTTAAATTTTATTTTGTAAATTTTATTTGATGTGAATTAAATTTTATTTAAATTTCTGCTGAGAATTAGCAAGAATGTAGATAAAGTTACATAAATCTGCAATAAAACGACATCAAATTTAACATTAAATATATACATCAAATCAAAATACAAAATTCTTTATATTAACTTTATAATTTCAAATGTAGATGTACAAATTTCATCAATTGTAAAACACATTGTTTCACATATATGACAACTGTCTAAGACACTATTTGAAACATTTATAGATTCTAGAAGTAGACAATATGTAATAATATAACAGGTGAATGTATCATTATTAGTAATGTTGGGTCTCTACTCTCCACCTTCTCTGCCCCAAGAAACATTTAAATGACCTGTTGCTTACAGATAAAACGATTTTTAATTTCACATGGTTCATCTACAGCATTTCCCTTTGGATTATATGCTATGCAGTTCTTTCGATTAGAAGTTTCAAACAATGGAAATCTGTAATGAAGAAGAAAATGTTAACATATGGAAAAAGGAAGTGAGAATGAACAGGGAAGTTTTCAATTAAATAATGTAACCTTTAAAAGCATTTGAGTGAGATATTAACATATCGAGTCCTTTTTTCTTTTTCAGTGACCACAATTTTCATGATTCTCTAGTGTAATGCTACAAAATACCCAGTTGTTTTCTCGCTGATCAATATCACTGAGGCCAGGGATTTTTCCTTTTTGTTTTTCTGTTCTCATTAATGGTTTAAATGTGTGAAATGCTTCACTTCTATTTTGTTCAAGATGTATTATCCAATCTAGTCTAGGGAAACAGAAACAAGCCAGAGCATAAATTTTGTCCCTGTGTGATGTTGCAAATCTCATGTTTATAAATGAAAATGAGATTCAAAAAGTTCACATATACAGAAAATAAATCTACAGTATACAAAATACAAGAGGATGCTGAGAATATTGGAGTCTACTGGAATAGATAAAATAATGGATATACTGTTTTATCTGGACTGCCTCTGTGTATATGAGTATCTGTACATGCACATATACTGCCAAGTGCTTGTACTAAGGCAAAAAAAAAAAAAAAAAAAAAAAAAGCACATGTTAAAGTTCTTTTATGGCCACAAATACACTAACTATGTCACTTGAACATAAACTTGGATGTTCTAGGTGGATCTAAAACTGTTATTTTGTTGTACCCTTTCCTTTTTCTGTATTTTCATGCCCTAGACAAGGTTATGTCAGCTACAGTGCTCCTGGATCTCCTGGATCTGACCTTTGCTAGTCACATCTAAGGACAAATTCATAAAGAGCAAAACAGGTAATGACTGGCAGAAACTTACAGATGCCGGGAGAGTGCAGAGCCACTCTCCCATAACCAGGCGTTTTGTTCTTCACTGTACGAGAGTCCGATCCAGTAAAATTGTTGACTGGAGCTCATAAAATCCTGCTTCAAGTCAAAGACAATTACATTAATTTTAATCTACTCTGGGAATAACAGATTTTGAAGGAAAGTCAATGTTCAGAATAAGATTCAGCCTGTCCATCACACAAAAGGTACAGTCACATGACTCAAAATTCTCATTTATCTGGCCCATTTATATATGGATAAAAAATACCACAAAGTCTCACTTCTTTAAGAATTAAAAACCTTATAAAAGGAGATAGAGTCTTCATGTAACACTTTCTTTACAAGGGATCAATTAAATTTTATTCCAAAATAATAGTATTCTGAAGGATGAATCTCATGAGTATAATCTACTCAACCAATAATCAGCACAGGTGCTGCATGCATCTGGAGAATTTTTTCACTTTTTCTTATGGATTTGGCAATTAGGGCCATGCATGGTAGCTCACACCTGTAATCCTAGCACTTTGGGAGGCAGAGGCAGGTGGATCACCCAAGATCAGGAGTTCAAGACCAGCCTGGCTAACATGGTGAAACCCCATCTCTACTGAAAATACTGGTGGCATGCACCTGTCATCCCAGCTACTCAGGAGGCTGAGACAATAGAATTGCTTGAACCCAGGAGGCAGAAGTTGTAGTGAGCTGAGATCATGCCAGTGTACTCCAGCCTGGGCAACAGAGTGAAACTCTGTCTCAAAAAAAAACAAAAAGAAAAGAAAAAAATTTAGTAATTTTTCTTACCATATTTTCCATACTAGCTTATATGCCAGAAAGACGACAAAAACTATAAAATTATTTTTTAAAAAGAAATTTAATTAAAAGAGCTAAAAATCACATTTAGTTGATTCTTTAAGTAAAATGGGTAAATATAATGACCTATTATCTAAAATGGGTAAATATAATGACTTTGAATTCTTCCTGAAAAGTTTCTTTCACTTTATTTGGCACTTATCTTGATTTGTATTCCTATGACATAAATCATCAAGGAATTTAATATAGATTTTACAATGACTATTTTAAGGTACACAGAATCAATAACTCAATTCCAATATAACCATCCACTTATGATCTGATTAATTACTTAAAGTATTTAACTTGTTTAGATAGTATATTTTTCTAGATCAAAGAAAATGTAGAAAATCAGACTTAGTACATGCCAGTTCATCTCTGCTTTGAAGCTGAAGAAGACTGGATTTCTGAGAAGCACAGAGATGCCTACTTTCATTCCAAGTTTTAGATTCACTGGAAATGAAGTAACAGTTGCATTGATAACCAATCCATTTTTCCTGGCAAGAACAGCAGTCAGAGTCTGACAGAAAAGATAAAACATAACTAATGACATAGGAGATGACATTTTCTTCAATGCCATTTCATTATTCAAAATTTATTTGCTGTTTATTCTTTTAACATTCTTTCAGAATCTACTGTATATACCACAGTTCAGGGGCTATTATTGTGAACTAATTAGACATGAACATAATGTTTTTTCCTCATGCAGATTATATTCTAGAGATAGAACCGGAATTATATAATTTTCAATAATTTATTAACGATACTTAACGATGATTTAGGTAAGTACACAAAAACATTAAGTATTTTAAAACAGCATGTGTAAGTAAGTATTTTAAAACAGCAGAGTGTAAGATGAGGGGCAGTTAGAAGAACCTTTTTGAGGAAGTCACTCAAAACTAAGTACTGTAGCATAAATAGAAGTTAACTAGATGAAAGAGACTGAAAGAAGGAAAACATTTTAGCATGTTTTCTGAGTCAGAAAAGAATATGGCACTGGTCAGGAGTGGTGGCTCACACCTGTAATACCAGAACTTTGGGAAGCTGAGGTGGGCAGATCACTTGAGGTCGGGAGTTCAAGACCAGCCTGACCAACATGGAGAAACCCTGTCCCTACTAAAAATACAAAAAAAAAAAAAGTCAGCTGAGTGTGGTGGCGCATGTCTGTAATCCTAGCTACTCGGGAGGCTGAGGTAGGAGAATCGCTGGAAGCCAAGAGGTGGAGGTTGTGGTGAGCTGAGAGATTGCACTACTGCACTCCAGCCTAGGAAACAAAAGAAAAAAAATTTCTCAAAAAAAAAAAAAAAAAAGGTGGCGGGGTGGGATTTTGGTTCATTTGAAGAATTTTGGTATATTTGAAAGGGAATATAAATGAATCAATTATCTTGAGTCTTAATTATATAGTTTAACAATAATAGTGTTTTCAACATTTGTTATCCACAGTAATAAAAAGCATGACATAGCATAGGCACTCAAATCTTTGCTGTATAAATAAATGGTGCTGAAGATGTTCCACCATTTATTTATTTATTTATTTACTTATTTATTTATTTACTTATTTTTGAGACAGAGTCTTGCTGTGTTGCCCAGGCTGGAGTGCAGTGGCGCCATCTCAGCTCACTGCAACCTCTGCCTCCCAGGTTCAAGCAACTCTCCATGCCTCAGCTTCCTAAGTAACAGAGACTACAGGTGTGCACCACCATGCCTGGCTAATTTTTGTATTTTTAGTAGAGATGAGGTTTCACTATGTTGGCCAGTCTGTTTTCAAACTTCTGACCTCAAGTAATATGCCTACCTCCAGCCTTCCAAAGTGCTTGGATTACAGGCATGAGCCACTGTGCCCGGCCAAGATGTTACACTGTAAATGAAGCACTATATAATCACAGAAGATGGTGAGACAACTTGGGGTGCATTTGGAAAAAAATATATTTAGAAAATCTGGGCTGGGTGCTGTGGCTCTGCCGGGCAGAGTGGTTCATGCCCTTAGTCCCAGCATTTTGGGAGGCCAGGCGGGTGGATCACCTAAGGTCAGGAGTTCAAGACCAGCATGCCCAACATGACGAAACCCTCTCTCTACTAAAAATACAAAAACTAGCCAGGCATGGTGGTGGGTGCTTGTAGTTCCACCTATGTGGGAGGCTGAGGCAGGAGAATCTCTTGAACCCAGGAGGAGGAGGTGGCAGTGAGCTGAGATCGCGCCACTGCACTCCAACCTGGGAGACAAGAGCAAAACTCAGTCTCTAAAAATAAAAGAAAGAAAGAAAATTGGACTTTGAGCTGGCTTCCATTGGATAAGTAAGGTTTAGAAATCTGTGCACTATATTCTGCATCATTTAAGAATCAAAAGGGAAAAGTAATGAGATGCAAAAGTATAGGTTATAAGCAAATTCAGGCCGGTAATGAGGATTAATTGTAATATTTTCTGTGGTTTATTTTTTGTAACCTAATGATGAGCACTCATATATTTTCCATTTCAGATATCATTTCCCTGATTAGTTAAATGTATAAATGATGCACATTCAATGTCATTTAATCCTGTTTACATTAGAGAACAGCAAAATGAGACTATCCTACACTGGCAGGCAAATTTCTATTACTAAGTATAACATTCTGTCACGCTTCTCTGTGTGAGAAACAAGAAACTACTTGTTTCATCCTTTACCAATGCTAAGTTTTCCAAAAAATTTGACCTACCTTTCTGGAGTTCTATGTTGGGTCCTGGAGTAAATGCTGACTCAATACTCAGTTTAGTAAAAGCTGTAAGAAATGATTAGAAATTTGTTTAATTAGATATGGGTTTCTGAAATAACAACATATTAACATTAGTAAGATGAAGCGTTTATTATTAAATGATGTCATCACAATTTTGATTTTTATGGAGACTTGCTTAGAAGAACTTACAATTTTTTAGTAAAATTCCCAGTGTAGCCATCAACGAAAGGCATATTATCCCTAAGGTCCCAGAAATCAGCCTCCAGAAAGTGGCCTTAAACACTGTAAGAAAGACAGACAGGGTAATGACTTAAAAAGCAAACACAGGAGCTGAGTTCTTAAAAGCAGGAACTAGTTAGAGAGAATCCAAAACATTCTTTCATTTGATAACGGAGTCAGCTTGCCAATAAAACACTGAAAAATGAAGACTTTCCAATCAGGACTTCACCCAATACCAACATTTTTATGTGATGTATCTTATTCTTCAGGGAGATTATTCAAACATTTTCTTTTCTACCAGCTCTGTCTCAATAAAGTGAATTTACCATGTATGTTTAAAACTGACAGAGAAGCTTAAAGATCTGGAGGAAGAAGATATTAACAGGCACCAAGTTGTGTTTTATGAACTTACAGAATAGCCATTTATTTTTATTCTCTCATCAAAATCGTAAGTTAGTATGATTCTCATTAGGTAGATGAGAAACATAAGGTCCAATAATAATGTTATTTTCTCAAGGTATCAAAGCAAGTAAGTATCCAAGTCAGAAATCAAATGAAAGTGTGTCTAGCTCAAGAATCTTTCATTTAACTTAGTCTACCATTGTCACAATAACACTACCTGAGAGTGTCCTCTCGTCATCTCATTGCAGTTTTGCTCTGATAAATGTCTAGCTGCTCATGGCTTCGTAGAGATATTATAGGGAAAAGAAGACATAGGAACATTCTGGACTTTGTGTGATAACTCCTTCTACAATCAACAGATGGGTGATACCTTGGAGGCCTGGGTTCATCTCACAGTACATTGAATTATGATACACAAACAATCTTTTTTTCCCCAAGAACATTACATTTGTTCACACTCAAAATTGCTTGTTTCTAGGCTTTTCGCCTAAAACATTTCAACATTAGGAGATTCTGTGTTAACACTGCCACACTCTCAAATAATGATGTTGTCATTAACAACAGTACAATGTGTCAAACTGTTCATTTGTGTAATTTTTGGATGTCACAACGTAAATAGTAAATTTAAAACTTTTAAGCATTGCGTCATTAATATTTGACACTTTCTATTTCTATACTAGAATTCTGTTGCTCACAATTAACCAGGTTAAAGGTCAGTTCTTGTTCAGAATTTAGAGGTAGCCCTGCCAGAAGCCATTCTTTAAACCTGTTACAAAAGCTTCATGGAATCATTTCTAAGTTAAACAATGAAGAATCCGGAAAATAAAATGAATGTGGAAAGTGCTAATGCATGAAAATCCTAAAAATATCCACTGTTAATCATGTCCTTTTCTCTTAAAGCACTACCCCAAAATTAGCCAATCCAAGAAATAGCTTTTCTGGTTATTTTTAATTTGGCGATTGAAATCACACATACCTGCCATGAGAAGTTATGTTCCAAGAGCGATGTAGAGAAGGCACGACGTGTACTTGTTTAGAAAGAACAGCGTTGAAATGTTGGAGCTGAGCTGGAGTTGAAAGACTCTGAAAGTTGAGTATGAAGGAATTTAGCAAGAAAAAAATAGAATGAAAAATTGTGTATTTAAATGATGTTTTGGAATTATCTATTGATGAGCCATGTACTACAGTACGAATAAGAAGCAGTAAAATCACAAGCTTCTAACGTGTTCCAGGAACCACAATACAGGAAATTCTCACAGTACTTTTGTAATATCAACACTGTGGTAAGCACTAAAGAAGCTGAGAAGAGGTGAGAGGGAGTTTTGTTGTTGTTTTGGTTTTAATGTTTGAAGATAGAATTCATTTTGAAGAGTTATCTGGAAAATGAAGGAAATGATTGGCAAACCAAAGGTAAATTTACTTAGTATGATAAAATTACTCACAGAATTTTCCTCTTTTAATAATAACAAACATTTATTACTTAGCTTGTACTTAAATTGTACACAATTTAAAGAACTTGGCATATGTTAGCTCATTCATTTCTGTAAATGGTTTGATAGTAAAGATATATAAATATCCTCAATCTATCAATGAGAGAACTGAGGCATACACAGCTAAGTAATTTGCCCAACGTCGTGTAAAGTGGGATTTCCCTGTCTCACTCTGTTCTTCTGATCCCTACCTAATTACCCTGGTCACAACAGGAAAAGTTCAAAAACGTAGAACTGGATGGGTTTCCCACTTGATGTCTCATTCTCATTAGCCCTAAAGGCTTTGGTCAACACCTCACTTTTCATTTCCTTGAAGTTCTTTGAACACGACTTTAGCAGCTTTATTTTCTTTATTTTTACTAATACACTAATTATTATATTGTTTAGTGTGTTATCTAATTCAAATACTATACTGCTACTTCAATGTACAATTTTTTTGTCTACAGAAGAGTAACCTTGTTGATAGGAATATCAAATGTGGAACAGGTCAAATTTCCAATGTGGAACAGATTGGCTATAATAAGAAACTTCAAATGACAGATTTCGATCTATGACTTAGTATCTGGAAATACAATCTACCATGCATCCTCATACAAAAGCAGACCCTCAATAAACTTTTGTTTATTATATTGTGTATATTGTTTATGTTCAAGCATTATAATATTACTATAGATAAACATTTTTGTAAAAGATAGGCTTTCAACCAACAACAGAAAAAAAAAAAAAGACTACTTTGATTTCTCAGTTTTTATGAGGTCAAAAGCTTTCCATCTTTTCAGTGTGCATTGTGTGTACAGAGCTGGTTTCATTGCACCACCAAATTTGTAGAAATATAAATCCTTACTGAAGAATATAAGCATAAAATCTACTTCATCCAGAATTTATGCAAATCTGAGTTGAAGTGATTTATTTAAAAATCCTTTGCTTACTTGAAACCTATTCATTTTCAGTTTTAGTGTTAGAAAAAGCTAATCTAGAAGAAACCTATCTGATATTGATTATTTTTCCCCCATGTAAAATTGCCTTAAAATACAGGAGTTTAAGGGTTTGCTTTTATTTTTTCTCTTGAAATAGTACAAATTTATGCCAGAATGTGCAATAGGGATTATTACTACACTTTCATTACTAACTGAACCACATTTATTTAGAAGTTATTCTAGGTTTTTAGAACCATGTTTGGTGAGAATACATCCATCAATCATTGCCTTTTTTTTTTCTTCTTAGTTCACTGACTTACAAATAAAAATCCAACAAATGCAAGTTTCATTCAAGAACTCCAGCCTTAAATAAGATATCTATACACACCCACCCACCCCCACACACAGACACACACATACACAGAGTAAGCATATCTATATATACATATATACCTCCTTCCTTTAACTCTTTCTGAGCTGCCAACTCTGATTGTCCTTTCTATTCAGTTTTGTACGTAGGCAGGTGAATGGTTGCCAGGCACTGTGTCTCCTCCACTCATCTCCACTTGTTCCTGAGGTTATCATTGCCTTGCCTAGGTCCCTTGGAATATTTGGGGAACTATGGCCAACTAGTTATCTGTATAGCTGTATCTGTGGGTTCTTTTTTGTCCAATAACTGCTGAAAGCCTTGCTGTTCTCAGACAGGCTAGTAAGGAAGTGCTGAATAATCGTCACCAGAGCCATCCTCGACAAATGAACCTTGGGATTCTCTAGAGTCTAGCAGTCTCAGCCCTAAAGTCAAGTAATTCTGAATGTTGTGCTTTCCCCCATTTTCCAGAATTACTCAAAGTGTTATGCTCCAGTCCCCTCCTCTAGAAACTAGATTCAGAAAATCTGTATTGTGTTCCACCTTCCAGTTCCGATTACACTTCCTTTCCTACCTTTATTCCACACACAATTCCAAATAAAGTTTGCACTCAAAGGATTCCCTGGGGCTCCTACAGAGAGAACCCAGACTAAATTCCGATGAAATTTCCAGCTTCACTTATATAAATTTGCTTTTGAAAAGTTAGGTATCCTGCCAAAAGAACATCTTTCTTTGTGGGACCTCCCGTCCACTAGTAGCCACTGCAGGAAGCCACCCTCTTCCTCCCCTGCTGTTTACTAGTGCTTTTGTTCAGAGCAAGTGATGACTTCAATAGCTAAGCCAACTTTTAAACCTCAGTCAAGAGCCAGGAAAATAAACTAAGGTTCACTTAAGATATAAACAGTGGAGTCTTTTCCCTACCTAAAAATTTATAATTAAAATGTTGCAGAACACAATACTAGTATACATTTTAATATCCTCAAGGAAGAAATTTATTTTGATCTCACTGCTTTTAGAAAATGTATTCTTTGAGTGGGAAAAAAAATTGCTAGCATCAGGCTACAAATTGTTCTTTTAACAGGGAGAGAGGGCTCCCTGAGAAAAAATAAAAGATGTTACTGACCTGGTAAAAATCTTATTGTAAACATGCTAATAATAAACCTACTAGCTAGATAGTGGTTTTTGCTTGCAAAATCCTTATCAATTGAATGATTTTAGCAGGATGTATTAGAGTGTCTAAAATTGTTAGTGAGTGGTAAAATCAAATAAAAATGTAAAACTAAGGCTGGGCATGGTGGCTCACACCTATAATCCCAGGACTTTGGGAGGCTGAGGTGGGTGGATCATTTGAGGTCAGGAGTTTGAGACCAGCCCGGACAACATGGACAAACCCCGTCTCTACTAAAAATAGAAAATTAGTCTGGTATGGTGGTACACACCTGTAAGTCCTGCTACACGGGAGGGTGAGGCATGAGAGTCTCTTGAACCGGGTGAACTGAGATCACACCACTGCACTCCAGCCTGGGTGACGAGAGCAAAACCCCATATCAATAAAATTTTAAAAAAGCATAAAACTAGAATCTGTGGGTTTATGGAGAATGGGTTCCTGGAAAATGTCACATAAACTATGTGGAACCATAGCCATGTAACCATCTGAGCATAAAATAGAGATGTGTCATGACCAACGCGCCTTCCTGTGTGTAAATGGTGCAGCCATAAGAGACCTTATATGTTTATCTGTTTGTTTGGGCCACAGTGTGTCCTAAGGGGAAAGTAAGAATGAGAAGCTGCCCTGGCAGACCTGGGTTTTCCACTGTTTTGTCTGCATCTCACAATTACTGTATAGCTGAAATTATGAGTAAAGCATGATATGGGGTGAAATCTCTGAGGATGCTTATGATTCTGATTTGACAATCCAATCCTTTGCATTACTTTCTTGAAGAGCTGGTTAAGTTTTGTCCATGTAGATAATGAGAAATATGCATATAAGTATATGTATAGAAGCCAACACTCCTTGCCTTTCATCGTATAGCAAAAGTTATCATTGCCCCTCTCATATATGTAGGAAATTTTGTTGTACTTGGACAGACTTTCACATCTGCAGGCCTCGGGCCTTCTTTTCCCCCTAGATCTGCTAAAAGCTTTACCACCCTCACACCAATGGATCTCAGAAATGTACATATAAATATCCAAAATTATTTTGCATATCTTATATGAAAAGGCTATTTGAGGATATATGTCAGAAAAAGAAATGTGTTGTTGAGGTTCAGGACGTATCACCCCAAAATATGATAGGAGACCAGAATATGTCACCCCAAAATATTTTTCTTTTTTGGCATATTTCAAGCTGGTTATTTTGAGATACTGCAGACACAAGAGTAGCTCATGTGAAAATCTGCCCTTTTGTAAAGGAAAATGACGTCAGTTGAGGAATCTATATTAGCAAAATTATCTATATCAGGAAAAGGGCTGCTCTTAAACAACGTTTTTTTTTTTTCCCCTGAAGGACTCTTATTTACATAACAAGAAAACCTTTATTCAACAAGTTTCCTCACCTTCACCCTCCCACAGCATGTCCCTATTCCAGAAGCCCCAGTCCCTATTCCTTTATGCAGTTCAGGACGCCACGTAAATATCAATCATCTAGCCCTTCATTGAGTTTCACATTTTTGTAGGACCCAAGACTACGAAAACTCCCCTAATATGAAAGAAAAGAGGAAAAGCATGAAGGTGAAGTGGTGAATGAGAGTAGGCAGATAAAAGAGGTCAAGGAAGCAGGACACAGTGCTTCTGACATGAAGGTTCTCATGCTGTGACTGAAGCCACCTCAGCAAAATTACGACAGTGAGAGAAATCTGACATAGATGATTCGATCTTACTTCTGACTTCCAAGCTGCCCTTAGTCATTACTGGGTGTAGGCCGAGCTAACTTCAGGAGGAATTTAGTTTATAGTGTGATATTGTGCTGGCCTAGAGCCAGAACCGGAGCAAAACTATTTTATAAAATGCAAAACTGTTTTTAGATAAGTTGAAATGGCTGCCCCATTCTCCTTACAATAACTACTATCCTTGGCCTCTGTAAATAGAACTGCCAGTTTGTTCTTCAAAACTATGTAAAGCTGCTTACCTTTTCTTATCAGTAACTGCTCTCTGTGGCCCTAATGTGACAGGCAAGCAGTCCTAACCCATGCCATCTTGGCTCCTGCGACTTGTAATAAGTAACTAAGGTCTGTGATTTCCACCTTAACCAGATAATGTGTAAACAAATGTTTATCTTGACTTCTGTAAACCACTTAAGTAACAAACGGAATGACAAAAGCCCCCTGGCCCTTGGAATGTCCGGAGACCCCCACCCTCATCTCTGCCCAGGAGGTAATTTACAGAATCCACTAGCCCTCGGAATGTCTGAAGCCTTTTCATCCCCATCCCCGCCCCTCACCCCCACTCCCAAGGTGGTTTTTCGGGTATAAAAAATCGTGGCACCCTCCTGTTGCCACCACAGGTTGGAGAGACGTGAGTCCTCTGTGGTCGCCGGCATAATAAATGACCCTGCAACCTGGCATACTTTTGTCTTGTGATAACTTTCTACACTCGGTCAAATACAACAATAGTTTAACCTTAAGGCAAGGATGGTAATAGCCCTTCTCAAAACTCAACCGCTTTTG